ACCAAAACACTGGCAGTTTAAATCAGGTGCATGAGCAGTATACTCAAAATCCCAACCAAACTAGTGTATTTAGGGGAACAGTATCAGAGGAAAACAGACATTATTAGCTGTTGATTTTTGAGTGAAGGGGCCAGCGAGTTATGACAGGGGACAAACGAAGGGGCCGAAAGCAGAATAAAAAACGACTAGAAAAGTATATTGGTGTAAGTCTTCTCGCTTTCGAAATTCCCCATAAAAATAAAAGAGTTAATTGTTTTATCCTTGTACCAGGGAATAGGAAAAGAAGTATACTGAAAATGTTAATAAAAATAATATATATATATATATAAGAACAATGTCCAATTTTATCTTTTAGTTTATGCCCACAAGTTTGTTGCACATGGTTTTGCCATTAATAAATGTGACTTTAAGGTTATTAACTTACTATATAACCTTAATGAAGAATGAGAAAACAATATTAACCCTCAATGTTATATTATGATTATTCGATCTTAGTGGCACAAAACTATCTAAATATTCTATATTTGATACATATAAACAACAGTTTGATAGTATTATTTGTTGTAGTGGATTTAGGCTTTCTTAAACTTTTAAACTGTTGTAGTAGGTGTTTGTTTGCTATGTAATTTGGACATTTTTGTCCCTATTATCATTAATAAATTATTTGTTGAGCGGGGGAAAAAAACATTTTGATAGTATACCTACTTTTTGTTAACATGTATGATGTGATCTGACCAAGTATTTAAGAGACATCTAAGTATTTTGATATTTGTATACTTTTTTATGTATATATGTTTTCCATGAGATGGTACTAGATCAAGCATGAGACCCTTTTATGTACTAAATCATGTTAGATGTGTAACACCCATAGAATCGGTCATGTAAAGTTTTGACTTCTGATATTTGGAATTTACTTTTTGATACTTGAATTAAACTTTTGAATTATTAAAAATAAGTTAATAATAATCATAAATCAATTAGTTTAATTTGAATTTCCTTAAGGACCAAAATGCAAGCGATATGAAATTAGTAATTTGGGAAAGTAAGGTGTTTTGGGTTGGCTTCTTTAGCCAAGATCTAACATTTTTTTTATTCTCTAATGTTCATCGATCTAGTATCATAATCATATCAACATCATGTTCAACTTCTGAAAATGTCTACTGATTTCAATCTCTCGTGAAGATTTTTAGAATATGCAACACTTTTATCAACCTCTCTCTCTCCCCCTCCCTCCCCATCTCTTTATCTCCCTTTCTCTCTTTGAAGATAGACTCTTCCACTTAGATATTCATGTATGATTAGAAATGAATTTTTAAGCACGTACGGTAGGTTACGACTCATGATTATGAAAGAAAAGATAAATAGACTTAACTAAGTGTTTAAGGATTATTGAATTAAATATCAATGTTTTCGTTATTATTTTGTTTGATTTGAATATGCTTTTACATTTTTTTTATTCTTTTTTTATCCCTCAGATTGCCCACTTATGAGGTTTCACCCTAGAGTTCATTTCCCCCCGATGATCTTTTCATAGATTGAATCTAGAACCTGGAGTCAATTATACTTGATAAACCTTTTAAAGAAGTCATTTTTATGATGGGATTTTCAAATGTGCTTCTTCTCCTTTAATGAATTCAAGACTTTAATTTCATTTGAGAGCAATATGCTTTTTTTTTATTTGGAACATATCTTATTATTATTGATTGATTCTAGATCTCGAAACAAATTATACTTGATCACAGTTGCTTACCTTATTCGTGCAAGTAGATTTTCTTTTACCTTAGTGTGAAGGATGATCATTGGTTAGGGTTAAAATCAAAGAGAGAAAAAAAATATTCAAGGCTCAAATGGAGACACCAATGATTAATTTTATATTTTTGTGAAAGGATAATGAAATATCGTTCATCATTTCATACGTAAGAGTCCTTGTAAAAGAGGTATTCCCAAAGGGAGATATATATTCAGAGTGATTAACTTTTTTATTCATTGAAAAAAAATCAATTAATACACGACAATTTGATCTCTCTTTTTTTACCTCATTTATTCAAGCTTATCTTCAAGAGCTTGATATAAGATGCAGTGTATTGTCTTCTTGCTAGATGATTCACACACAAATAAATATCATGCATTCTATGTTTTTGGCATATGATAACTAGTTGTATACATGATCATGTTGTGCTATGTTACTCTCCTTATATGTCCCGGTATGGTGAGTTTTTGGCTAGATAGGGAGCTAAGTATTAACATTTAGTTCTTTGGGCTAGAAAAATTAACGAATAAGGTGACGTCAAATGTTTCTATGCAAAGAAAAGAGGTGAAGGAAGCTATGTTTAATTGTCAAGGATAGAGTTATGATCAAACACTGGGAGTAGCAAGGATCTATTAAACATTTAAATCTAAAAACTAGGAAAAACAATACCTTATTTGATTAATATTTTTAAACTAACAAGGGCTAAAAATGATATTCTACCAAAAACTTTACGGGGTTACAGCCCCTCCCACCCAACAATTGGATTCGTCCCTTTTCATGTCTGAGTTCATATGAAAAGTATGCATGGGGAAATGATGAACTCCTGGTATAAGTTAATTTGCTACGTGCTTGTGATTTGTAAGATTAACAAGGGCATATGTCTGTATTTTAGAAATCTTTCGGTTATTTTAAAAGAATATATATTATTGGATGCTAATAATTTTCTAATCATTAATTAATTAGAGTTATGCATAAAAGGAATCCAAAATTAGGTTATATTACTAGTTGTAAAATTACATTTTTAATAAATTCAATTTAAATTCTTTAATCTGAATAATGGGATTATTTTATTTCAATTGATTTACAACTTGAATAATTTAAATTGTATCTTTAATTTTTTTAAAGTTTTAAGCTACCTTTCAAATTCTACTACCAAGTTCCGCCATTGAATGTTATATTCCAAAATTCTTATTCATAGAGATTATATGACATTATGTAAAACAAACGCATCGTAAAAGCTAAGACATATTCTATATTTATAAAAAAAATAAAATTGATCGTTAAGAATCTTTGTTCTACAAATTTGGTTATCTAGATGAACTTAAGTATCAAGTAATGTTTATCGATTAAAATAATAAAATTCAATTTAATTATTAGTTAAGATGTAAATATATATATATATATAACAAATTATTTGAATCTTATTGGCATATTTTGTTCATGAGTTTTGGCGGGTCTTGTAATTTCTGTCCTTTCTTTTATGAAAGTTTATTGTGGATAAAAAAAAGTGTAAAATAAAAATGGAAATTTTGTTCAAGAAAAAAAGAAGAAGAAACGAGACATCATCTAGCAGATATACAGATGACATAAGCAACCACATTAAAAGAAGGAAAAAGTATTGTTGTCTGACTCAATAGGACATGGAAGTAGAGTAGACCTAAACCCCCTATCAATGCTTCCTCTCTCTTTCGTTTTAATTATAGACTTGCACTTAAACTTTGAATTCGTTATAATTGATTTTTCAAAAAAAAATCAATTCTTCGTTTTTGTTATATTTAGTTCAAATAAAATGATCCATTAACGAAAAATTAATTACAAATCAATAAAATTTGGGTAAAATGCACAAATAATCTCTCAACTATAGATATTACATTTTTTAGTCTCTCGATTATCAAAAATTATAAAATAATCTCTTAACTATATGACATTAATTTATTAAATCCGTTGACTATTAAAAGTTATAAATAATCACATGATTATTCATATGTTCTAAATTTGTCATTTTTTGTTAAAAATATCGACAATAATATGAGTTGGACATTAACCTGTTGACAATGATGTGGTAAAATTTGATCTCAAAATCTTAAACAATTATCATATATCACAGGTTAACGTCTAGCATAAATTGTCATCAATTTTTTAGCAAAAAAAGGCAATTCTGGAATATATAAATAGTCAAATTACTATTTTGTAACTTTTAAAAGTTGAGGGACTCAATAAAATAATACCTTATAATTATATGAATATTTTATAATTTTTAATAGTATGACTCTACAAAACAATACCTCAAATTTTTTACACTAAAATTGTAATATAATTTATTGTGTTTTTTTATAAGTAATTTTTTCCAGTATTATATTTTCCCAATCCAAGTTTTCAGTGAAAGCTTTATGATTTTATTTTGAAAATATATTAAAAGTGTAGTATATAGACATGATTGGTTTTTTTTAAATAGAAAATTCAAGAGGCCAAGTAAACATGCTATTAAGAGTGAATATTTGATCGAATCGAATAAAAAAAATTTGACTTATTCGAGTTGATGTGTCATATTTTAACTCAAATTTTATTTAAAATATTTTTGAGTCGAGTTTTCGAGTTTCTATTACATTTAATAGTAAATATTTATAATATTATGATATTATTTGATTCTAATTAAATGGTTTTTATAATCATATACATTACATATATATTTATTTATATTTTTTTCAATTCATACAAAATGAGTCGACTCAAACTTGAAAACAAATTTGTAATAGTTACTTGTGACTTTCATTGATCACTAACTCTATATATTACACATTTTTATTCTTCTTCCTCCCTTGTCAACTTTTGCTTACTACATGGCAAACCATAATTTTCTTTTAGCACTGCAATTCCAAGTTCTATCCCCATTCAAAATGTCCCATTTTAGATCTTTGATGCTGAATTAACAATACGATTGCAAAGCTGAATCCGTTTTGAATTCTGGGTGTAGTTTATAATCAAAATTGTGGTAGTTCAATCTAATTTTAATTTGGGATAAATTTGTTTTGGAGGGGGTGCACTACTTTCAGCCAAAGAACAACTTCACATTCATCGGGTGCATTCTGCGCAGATTGTTCTCGGTTCTTGACAAAAAATCAAGCGTTTATAAAAGCTTTTACTTTTGAATTTTCCATAGATTCAGCCTTGGCACTTAGCAATTAGCACCACACTTAACTCTCTTTGCTCTGCTTTTCTTTCTTCTTCTGCATTTGTTTTGTATAATTGCGACAATGGAAGGGGCATCACTGCCACCGGGTTTTCGGTTCCATCCCACCGATGAGGAACTGTTAGGATATTACCTCAAAAGAAAAACTCAAGGACTTGAAATTGAGCTTGAAGTCATCCCTGTGATTGATTTGTACAAGTTTGATCCTTGGGAGTTGCCTGGTACTTTTCTGCACATTGTTTCTTCTCTTAGATTCTAACATGATTTCTGGTTCAGGCTAATGTGAATATGGATTTCTATTAATGTAGGGGAAAGCACTTTTTTGTTTGTTTTATGTTCTTTCCTTTGCAATTCTTTATTCCCATGGGATGGGACCTGCAACTTTTTGTTCTTCAACTAAAGCCTCGTTTAATCTGATTTGTTATGAAAAAGGTGCAAATAAAGAGCATTAAACAGTACTGTTGAACCGTCTAATTGTTTTGCAGAGAAATCATTCCTTCCGAAACGAGATTTGGAGTGGTTCTTTTTCTGTCCCAGGGACCGAAAGTATCCAAACGGGTTGAGAACAAACCGAGCCACTAAAGCTGGCTATTGGAAAGCCACCGGAAAAGATAGGAAAGTTGTGTGCCAATCTGCTGCTGTGACTGGCTACCGTAAGACCCTAGTTTTCTATCGGGGACGTGCTCCTTTAGGTGATAGAATGGATTGGGTCATGCATGAGTATCGGCTCTCTGATGAACCTTCTCAGGGATCGACTAATCAGGTGAGAATACATAGCATAAGCATATGTATATTTCTTTGTATTGGCACTTTGATTTATTAAAGCAATTATATACTCGTCAGGGTGCTTTTGCCTTGTGCCGCGTTGTGAAAAGGAACGAATCCAATGCGAGTGATGCGCACAGAGAACCAAAAGCCACGAGGGTGGGGAGCAGTTCGGCCAATGAGGAACTTACTGCCTCACCAAGGATCAGCAAGGAGCCATTGAGCAATTCTGGTGACATTTCGTGTCAAACAAGTTACCCTAACAATGAGAGTCGTTATTCAAGCCCTATTGCTTCTCCTTATCCTAATGAAGTTACACAAGTGCCACCATTCGAGCCTGTTTCCACGGCTACCGATCCTAGCAGCATCTGGGTCTCACCTGATCTAATTCTTGATCCTTCAAAGGTACAGGAGAATAAAAATTGAAATTGAAGATACAGTAGTTAGGATTTCTTTAGGTTTCTCTGATAACTTTGAATTGTTTTATTTCAAGGATTATCCACAAATATGTGAAATAGCATCCCAATACTTCCCGCAGTATGAGATTCCAAGCTCACTGACCCCATGGCAGCAATACAAACAGATAGACTTCTCCACTAGTTCATCATACTCGAATTTGGGGGAAATAAAGCATGATGCCCTCAGTCGCATTGGCTGCATGCTACCGTACTTGGGACATGCAAATTCCATGGACTTCTATGGCAATGAAGGCTATGACCAGGCTGGTTCATGTTACCACCTGAACCCTTTGTGAAAAAGGAAGGAAAGAAGACAATTAAGGGAAATTAAGGGTATGTGATTATGGTTTGTGGTTGCAAGAAGACAATTTGGCGACAGTGATACTGAGTGGTCCTTCATATGATCAATGAATGACAGCACTGAGTTTGTGTTATCTAAGAAGGGGTCTCTAAGACGACGCCTTTTAATGTAGGTTATCGTAGTAGTAAGTAACAAGTAATAAGAACAACCCCTTCACTGCTATCAGGTTCATTTAAGATTGCTGCATCTTTGTTATATTCCGTATCGGGGCTGCAATGGAAGCAGCTGCTAAGTTTCCGTTTTATGTTTGTTCCATACAAAAAGTGACTTCCTGGTGGTTAAAATAAGCTCCTTTTAATGAGTGATTGATTGTGTCAAAGTGCTAGGATTTCATAGCTTCTGATAACATTCATAGGTATGTCCAAACTAATGAATCTTCAACAAATGCTAAATGGAAAAAAGGTTGTGTTATGTAATAGGTGAATGTTTCTTATTTCAACTACAAACATGAAGCAGAGTTGTCAACTTCAGTATTGCTGCCAAATTGCTTTGTAGCTTTTGGAAAAATGCAATATTCTCCCAAGATTTAAAGTTCAGCACAAACTTTAATCATATGTAACACGCCATTCCTATAAAGAGGTTAACTTTAAACGAGTTTTGTTAGGCATTGTATCAATTCAGTGGGGTAGTTGATCTAGACTCAGTTTTGCTAACAGTTCATTCGCGTTATTCACGTTTTGGAGGCTTAGGCGCATGATAACGTTGTGTCCTGTGAACTTCACCAAAAATAAAACCCAAGTTACTGGGGGACCCTATTTGTCATTTTCTCCATATTTGGTTCTTGGCTTGGCAGATTTTGAAAGAAAGTCAAGGAAAGTCACTATCAACAACAACTCCCATCAGATCTCATCAATGATGGAAATTATGCAGTTTAAACAATTGCTAAAAGAAGCAAGTAATCTCTACCGGTCCCGAAAGGAGCATTGATGGGAGCCAAATGACTTAATAGATTGCAGTCTTCTTTGTATCAGAAGTATAAAATGTTGAAGAAACAACAATAACATAACTTCATGAAATACTTTGGATAAAGGCCTCATCTCCCTAAGCTCTGTTCATGCAATATAAAGTAAATATTCTCAAAAATCAGATTCTCACCACCTTGACCAATAGGCAATAGGTAAGCAAGTGGCCCTTCATCACATTCTCTAAAATTCACTTTCAACAACATGCTCCCACTCTTGCAAATTGAAAATGAAGTCCCCCAGAAAGAACTCCATCACTGAGTTAAGTGGTCAGGAGCTTTAAGAAAGCAACAATTTTGGTATTCTTTTCCTCCTATGGAAGGCTTCCAAAATTTGAGATATGGTAGTAAATAGTACATGAATTAGAATTCATATTAGAAAGAACTTGCTTTTCGATTAAGTTATTTGCATCAGAATTTACAAGCTCCATTGCTCATCTCAGTATAAGCTAGCAATCTGAGGGCTGCAAAAGACTTGGACTTCCTCAAGAGTAGCCTTGGACTCGTCCCCGAAGAGGGACTCCTTGCCATCCTTCCTCTTGGCATATGATAATCCCAATCTAGATTTGGCTTGCCTCAAGTCTCCAATGCCTGAATTAGTGTCAGGCCCTGCAAACCCACCCATAACCGGCGCCAGGGGAGGTCCGATGAGTAACCCATCAGCCCCAAATTGGGGACCCCCTCGAGCATAGTCGAAAAGTGCCGCACCACTACCCCCTATTTTGGGCAGTATGATAGGATCAGTTTCAACATCATCAGTCCAGTAAAAGAGGAATGCATCGAATGTGTCATAGTAATCATCTGTGCTTCTGTACCCTTCAGGGTTAAATGCACCAAACTTGAAGGACATGTTTGTGTATCCAATTATCACGCATGGTCCCTTGAAATCACAGCAGTCATGAAAATTCGTGGCGCTAAATCCGTCAACAGTACCCTTATAGCAACATTTTAATTCCCTACCTGCTCATAAACATATGACCTAGTTCACATCTATGTATAAATTGTATTTTACAAATTCAGAATGTGAAGCTACATGAAGTATATCTTAAGAGCATTGTTTAGAATCTAGATAATGATGCATGTGAATGAGAGATTACCTCTTAAGAATGTTTTGTCAACCAGCGAAAGAGAGAAAGGAAGATCAGTGTCATGGTAGTTGGGCTGAGGCTTAATATCTGCATTCGTTTTCTTGCCTATGTTCCAACCGAATAAACTGTAAGGACTTCTCCTCCAGCCCTGCTGGAACACAACAGAGTTTGAAATGCAACACGCCATTTTAGTGTTTCATTCACTGACATCCTCACAAAATCCACAAACAGGAAGGTTTCTTATCTAATATCTTATCTTAAATGACCTGTCCATTCATCGGTATTTGTCTCTTTCCCCTATTTGTTTACTGGGACATGCCATTGCCAACAAAATCGAAAGTTAATTTGTGTATGAAATATTTAGGAAGAGGTCACCGGTTAGGCCCTTAATTGATTTTATTGCTTTTTTTCTTTTGGGAAAAAGCAAAAATAATTGATCACTTCATCTAAAATCGTAAATGAACATCAGTCTACCAATAGAGTAGTAATAAACTGTTCCAATTTTATTCATATCATAATAAACCAGCCACTTGACCATAAACCTCATACCTTTTAAAAATCATGGGATGGCAGCTGATTCTTTGTAACATGCACTGGTTAATTTTTACATGCCTCAATGATTTTATCATCATCGGGATTGAACTCCATGCACCAGGCTATCCTCCTCATTTCTTCAACTTCTTCAATCACATTATCAAGCCTTGCCACAATCTCCACTACCAAAGATGCAAAACATATATATATTATGTAGTATAATTTATGATAAACTTATAGTGTTACCATACGATGCCAACTTCTCTTATTCTCTTTCGCCCATTAGCTTCTTTCAGCACCAACTACAATTTTTGGTTACCGAAATCTGACATATATCTCTACTCCTAGAAAAATAGGCATTTGTCTATGCAACCATATAGTATCAGACTGCATTAGAATATCAGTAAAGTTGATGTATGATACATGCTTGTTATTAGGGATGGATTGAAGGGATCAAGGGGCGAGTGGGGCAATTGCTCCTGAAAAGTTTATCGTAAAGTTTGAATTTTCTTCATTTAGTTACCTATTTTATTAATGGTGTTCATCCTAAAATTTATTTGTGTCTACCCCATTAAAAACTTGTGTTATTAACATACGTGTGTCCACCCTAATAAATATTTTTTGATTTGCTATTGAAGCCGCTTCATAAATCGACATGACAATCCATAAAATATGAAGAAACTCCGAAGCGATTAAATCAAAAGCTTTTTCAATGTGATGTGCACCTTTAGAGCACATCTAGGAGTCAAAGAATGTCTACCATAATCCAACAAGATATTTTCTGAAAGATTTCTTCCTGGAATGAATGTTGATTGATTGAGAGAAATGCATTTAGGTAGAAATTTAACTAGCCTATTAACCATTGTTCTTGTCTTAAATGTCCTGCCCTTTCACCGGTATTCGTCTCTCTCCCCTATTTGTTTACTGGAAAAGGCCAACGTAATCGAAATTCAGTTAAAATGCAATTATTTTTAATAAATAAAATATATTATTTGTGTTGAGGTACTCAACCATCGGGGTCCATAGCTCAGTGGTAGAGCATTTGACTGCAGATCAAGAGGTCACCGGTTCGAACCCGGTTGGGCCCTTTTTGGTTTGTTTGCTTTTTCTGGGAAAAAAGTAACTAAAAAAAAAATAGCTACGACAACTTTGAATCACTTCATCTAAAATCTTCTTCACTGAGTATCCTCTTTTGTTCTCTTTATCTTCTTCACTTACCATCCTCTTTCTTTTCCATTCCAAAATGAAGATGAGTCTGTTTTTTCACTTGCTAATGAAATGCCACGGAAAAATTATTTGGATGGTGTGTTAGAAAACTGATTTTTTTAATAAAGGGTGGTGTAGATTTTGCTTGTTCAAATGAGGTGAATACTATGATGTTGGGGAAGACGTCCAGACTCAAGACCACTCGGCGTCTTCGGTGAAAGAAGTGACGTCTTCCTGTTTATTTGTTTGGTGAAGACGCCGGGTCTTCCATGCATCTTCATAAAGACGTCGGGTGTCCACGTGTCTTTTCCATTTTATTGTAGATACAACTTAAATTGAGAAAAATAAATTTGATGATCTCTACTTGAAAATCTTTTTTTCTTCTTTCACTTCTCTACTGGAATGATTTTGCCGAAATGCCACGGTCTTTTTCTTGCTTACAGCGAGCAGCGTGTGCAGCTGCGGTTGCAAGCATGTTAGAAATTATTGACAAAAAAATTAATTGTATGGGACTAGTTCTTTTGTTTTTGATATCATAATAGAAATTATTGATGACCATGTCTTCTTCACTAATAATGGATATCACATGGAACAGTGAAAAATTCATCGCCGTAACATGTAATTATGTCATTTATTTATTCTTCATTTATTTTTAGACAAAGAAGAGATGTTTTTGAAGAGTACCTGAATTTTAGTTTGCTAGCAAAGCTATAATTGTTTGTGTTATAGACATACTACTAAGCATGCAGACTATAGACACGTAGACCGTGTCATATACTAAATTTTGACACATTCATATATTATATTTTGTGTTATTTTCTCATATCATAATCACATGTATCTGACTAAAATTATCAAGTCTAGTTTCATCATTTCGTGTACCGTAACTTGCTTACATTATTTGAGTACAAATTCGTAAACAATACTGCTAAACAGAGATGAAAAATGGGGTAAAATCATGAAAAATGGAACAATCAGGTCATTCTCCCAAAAAATTGAGAAAATCAGAGACCTTGGAAGTGTAATAATCTGGTTGAATCTTGTTTGAGGGGTCATCGAGAATGGATTTGGTTGTTACTCCTGAAATTTTAGGCATTGCAAACAAAAAGAAATATAAGAAACCTTGGTGGAGTTTTAGTCAGGCAGTCTTAAGAACAAGAGACTGCAACAAACCTGAAAGGACTAGCAGTGTTTTGCAGCCAGCATTTTGTCCAAATAATATATCAGTATCTAGTCTATCACCCACCATACACATTCTATATGTACTTAGATTAAATCTGCAAAATACAAAACAACATAGAAAATGATTATCAAAATAGGTACAGCAAGTTTAGTGTTCATCATTATTATACACCAAAGAATCATTCTCTGAGTCTACCATTGGTGTGTAAATGAGACATTCATGCTCAAATATTTGGGTTTAGTTCCCCAAAAATAAACATAAATTCAGCTGTTGCTGTTGAGTTAAGCTCGAGCAACCTAAGCTACCAGGCAAGTTGAATTCAAGTTTCCTAATGCTTGACTCCAGTAGCAAGCCTTATCAAGCATCTTCTTTTTTTAGTATATGTATATTTGCTTTCAACTCGTATTGAAAAATCTCAATTCAAACTCAAAACTCAAGCTTGAGCATAAATAATTGAGTTTAAAATATTACTGAGCGAGCTCCACTGAGTCGATTTTAATTTTGAGTCTAGATCAAACCTTGAAAGTGAAACTTGATCAAGTTTGACTTTAGCTTGAGCTTCTCACAAATCGCTTTCAGTTAGGCTTGTTAAGGAACAACTCACATAGCACAGTTTTCTACCACATTTGTTCCAATACAAGGAAAATGTCATTTTAATTTAATGAGGTAGAGACAATCATCTCAAGCGAAATGACTGCAAATTAGTTATGTGAAGTGTTTCTTAATTTGTTCAAAAGTAGACTTCAGACGTTTAAGCCCATATGAATGCAAATTACACAATTTTCGTATCTAGTTGGTATGCATACAGAACTAATGCATTAAAAAACTTACTTCTGCAGTAAAAAATCCATCATGAAGGTCGACGGTTTTCCAACTACAATAGGCTTTCTTTCCGTTGACCCACAAATGGCACCAACCATGCACCCTGCACCTGCAATCATAAATAAGAAATGAACCAAGCGGAACTCAACCAAAATCCAGATTTAATCTAATTTCCTTACCAGGCCACTCTTGCAGATCAGTCATGTGTCCAACTGAATCACGGTTTGTAGCAATAAAAAGGCAACCTGGGTTCTCACGGATGCAAATGGTCCCATACCTGCCAGTTGCAATTATTTTAAAGATGGAACAAACAGTCCAAGAAACACTGCCAAATCTTACATGTTAACTCATCTGATCTGACAAGAGTTTGCTTAGACCTAGTCTAGGCTTTAAAAGTTTATTAGCATTTTCTACTCATCTAGCCAAACATTGTAACCTAAAATCTACTCGATGCCCCTAAGCTAATTAGTATTTTAACTAAAAACGATCCCTCAGACCATTCACTGTCGATAATATTTTTTCTAGGAGGGAACAACTCGTATTTGAAATTCAACAATGTGTTGACATCTACACACTTTATCAAATAAAATATATAAAGAAACTTGGGAAAATGTATTGTTGATAAATGTAGTAAAATATGTAATAAAATAGTCATTAGAGTCTATGGGTTAGAACTTGTCCAGGGTTGTTTTAATGACCTAAAAACAAAATACAAATACTTAGCAACAAAATCTATGGGGAATTGAAACTGGTGACAAATTATTTTAAGAGGACATATTGCGAAGACAATCATAATTTCAGAAAACGTGCTAACTTTTTTTCTTAAAACCAAATACCAAGTGAATAGCCATCCACTTACTACATGATCCAAACCCTACATTTTCACTACAGTTGCACAAACTATAACATATTCTAGGAATAAGCATAGGAAACGTTCTAATATCAAACATTCATAATTGGAAAATGTGTTTATATACCATACTCTTAAAATCATAAAAAGGTGAAGATGAAACTTTTAACTTACTGAAGTTTGTAATAGTTAATATCTGGATCTAATCCAACAACAACTGCTCCAACCTGAAGATAGAAGTTATGAAACTTTCAGGAAAAAAGAACAAGTAACACGCTCAGAGACATTGTAAAGATATTACATTACATCTTTATCATGCTCAAAGAGGCAATTTGATTTCCACTGAGCCCTTTTTTCTCCATCTTCCTGCAATATTATTCCTCAGAGCAATTAAAATTCATTAAAGCAAGAGATTATGATGCAAGAACAAACAACAATGAAACACAAACACACACTATAACAAAGCAAAAAGCAGAGGAAAGAAGAGTGGTCCACAAAAACAAGCCTGTCAGTTGTTAGAAAGATGGAGAAGAGGATGAATTCCTAATCTAAAGACATGAACTGAAAATGAAAATTGAAAAGAGGAAGAAGGTACTGGGCCACCAAGAGCAGTAAATCCAGAAAGTTGCAACTCTTGTACTATGCCTTCCCCTCCTATGACATAAACCTGAAACATGAAAAAAAAAAATTGAATAGTGTGCACAAGAAAAATAAATATAGGTTGAATATTCATTTCCCCCCTATATACCACTTCTATCACATTGATAAAGAATAAAGAATGGTAAATAGATAAAGTTCATTCCATCATATACTCTGGTCCTTTTCATTAACATCGGTATTCTAACACTGACGTGGCATATATTACCACTGAAATTATGACACCTAGTAAAAAATGTCATGTAATTACGATACATTGCAAAAATTAATCTAGATCTTTCTTTCTAAACAAATATTTTTATATTTGAATTTAAAAAGAGAAAAGTAGAAAAACGAAAGTATTAGGAAGACAGAATGAGGGAGAGTGAGAAAGGGCGGAAAAGGGCGGTGTTGAACTATTATGTGGTATCAGGTATGTAGGTAAAGTGCTGTACTCTTAGTTCTCGTAATAACTAATAAGGGGTCTAAACCTGATAATTTCAATTATAAAAAAACTAAAGGGTGGTGCATGAAACAGGAACAAGGGAGAGTTAGCAGGAGATACACCGACGCTTAATCATACATTTCAAAACGAAATTGAAGTGTAGGTATTGAACTGCTAACTTCTATTCTGTTGAACAGAAGCAGTATTGTTCAAGGACAGATGAGCATTTAGGCCAAGAAATATGCTACTAGAAAAGTTATGTTGTAAGAGAAGGATAATATACATGAAGCAGAAATTGCATAGTTCGATTGGATATAAGGTATCAGGAACAGGGTAAGCAGGATTTAGCATCTACACATACAATCAAGAGAGAATAGTAATAAGAAATTACAAAGAGATTCAAATAGCAGCCGCATCCCGGTTTTAGAGTCACTATTTTGCGTTTTCAACTCTTTCTATAGCCAATATCAATAGCAATTTGCTACGGTAATATTCATTTACACTACAACTGCAACAAGCACGATGTGATTGAAAATGCATCGCAGCCATTTAAACCCCTTAGTTATATAATATTTAACGAGTGAGGAAGAGAAAGCAAAAATGGTAACCTTCTTTTCGAGAGGAAACTGATTGACCTTCAAGTACATAGCAGCAGCATAAGAAGACGAAAATATCTCATCCTACGAATACATAACAGTCAGACAAAAACAAAAGAGTAGTTTATTTCCTTTTCTTTGCAAAATTTAACAAATATTACAAACTAACCTGAGAAACAGATAGTCCGAGCGAACGAAATTTGTTAGCGTATTGGAATCTTGACTTGGTAGAGTTGTTGGTCACAAATATCAGCTTCTTCCCCTTTTAATCAAGTCATGATATTATGAATTACTATTTCACAAGGATGAATCATAAATTTGATAATCAAATGGAAAGCTAATGGGTGAAAAGAGTGAGAGAATGAGACCATGGATCGAAGCATTTCTAGTGTCTCGGGAGTTCCGTCGATCAGCTTATCGCCCTTCCAAATAACGCCTGCAATCGCAACGCTGCTTGTATTTATTGCAAAATCAACGAAAAAAAAAGCAAAACAGAGAAAAGATGAGAAGGAAAGAGTGGGAATGTGAACCATCGCAATCGAAGAGAAATGCATCAACGGAATCCAGCAGTGCTTTTGCGTTGACTCCGCACAGTAGCTCGGCGGCAGCAGTTGAAGTGGGATTTGAATTTGTAGCCTCCATTGCTAGCTTCAATCCTTGTTTCATCAACAAACCACCAAGTCAGTAGAGTTACATGTTACAACTGCTTCAAAATCCATCCATCAAAAAGAGAAAAAATAAGAATAAGAATTTACGAGTGTTGAAAAATATTCCTTGAGCAGAAGGTATACGCAGCCGACGGCTAATTTTTGCCAAATGCCAACGCTTTTCCTTCACAGGCACAATCACCCCATTTAGGCTTTAGATTCCATTTAGTTTAAAAGTTTTTTTTTAAATTTTATTAATGGTTAAACTATATAAATGTGTCACTAGTTCGAGTAAATTTTCGCTTTCCTTATTCAAGTTTTCAAAAATAACAAATTGATCACTAATGTTATTGATTTGTAACAAACCAATCACCCGACGTTGTTAACAATAGTTAAATAATTGTTTCTCCAAAAATCATTAAAATACACAAATTGATTTATAACAACTCAATCAGTTTCAACTTTAGATAGGAAGTTGACAGTCCAATACTTTGCTAATTTTACTATGGTTTCCAGTTTTTATAGCCTTGTATGTAGTAGTTCATATTGGGTTGGCTGCACCTGTTACAGTGCAAGGACTAGGCTTTGTTGGGGTTGACATACCTGATTCTTCAAGGTGATGCAGTTAATCTCAGGTTTCATGCAGGCCAGAGCGTGGAAAGGTAATATTCACATGTAATTAGAACTATGATCGGCAAGCAAAAAGTGTTGTCAATTGTTATGTTTCATTCATGTTTTACAACCTTTAATTTCCTTTTTCTCTATAACAATATGAAGTGATCATGCTAATAGGCATTCTGAAGTTCCATTTCCAGTCTTTTGTATCTTTCAATGTAGCTCATAGGTATTTATATCAATCATTGTTCTTAGGGTGATGTGTTTATTGCGAGTGCCATGCATCGTTTTCTATCGCAGTTAATTGCAGTGAATATTGATAGTAAATCATTATTGACTGGCAGTTGGTCATTTTCTATGAAGTGGGTTGCAGTGGAGTTTGAATTGTGAGCCCAATTAACCCAATATTTAACTGCTCAACTTAGCAATTTACAGACCAAAAAATCAAAAATCATTATCTGAATCAAAAGAGACATGGCAATGGCAAGATATCAACCACCCAGTACCAGTTTCATTCACCTCTGGCCACTCATCTTGTTCATTGCCATCATCATTCCCTCCAAAGGGGTCCTCAATAGCACGGAGCTTCTCAAGCAGGTGTGCAACCAGACGTCCAACAACGCATTTTGTGTTACGACTCTAACTGCAGACCCAAATGCAGGTGGCCCGCATGCCCTTGCCGGCGACCTCGCTAATGCTGCTTTACGGTTAGCTCAAACCAAGGCCACCCACGCAAAATCCCTCATAGCTCTCCTCCTTCAAAATGCCACCAACTCTTTGGACCGCAACAGCCTCCAAATATGTCAAAGCAGCAACAACAAGGCCTTGTCACAACTTTCGTCGGCTAACAATGACTTCAACCCGGACTCACTCGACTCTGTGGTGGAACTGATGAATGGTGCTGCCGATATTACAAAAGCTTGCTTGAATGAGATCCAAGGCAGAGGCGACCACTTTTCACTTCTGGCCACCGTTAATGCTGATTTGATCAAACTTTGTGAAATCTGTATTGTATCCACTAGAAGATTTGTACTAAATGACTTTTGGCTATGTTAGTAATGTGATCTGTAATGACCTTTTTTGCTGATATAAAACCTAATCTTATGAAAAGTAAATGAATGGTTTTATGATTTATACAATAAACTATATGGTTCATAAGCCTTAATACAAATAAAAGTACAAGAGGTGGTGCCAAACTTGATGGGACCAAAGGCAGATGCATGCATTCACGTTCACGGGCTAACAGTTTGGTTTGTGGGAATTAAAAAGAAGCAAAATATAGAGGTTTTGTTTTGTCTGTGTTTGTTTAACATGAAATAGATCACATACAAGAGAAGAAAATTGACGTGGTTCGATCTTTTTTACCACCACGGATGAGAGAAATATATTAAATTTCCTTATATACCAAAACTTATATATATCAGAAAAGTCATCGGTGTATCCAATTATCACGCAGGGTCCCTTGAAATCACAACAGTCATGAAAATTGACGCTAAATCCATCAGCAGTAGCCTTATAGCAGCATTTTAATTCCCTACCGGCTCATAAACATATGCCCTAGTTCACAACTGTGTACAGGGTTAATTTTGTAATTATGTACTAGGATTTTCTATTATAAATAGAGATGTAACCTAAACCTATGAGACATTGAATAAAATTTCTAGCGCCGCCTAGGCACCGAGGACGTAAGCACATTGCCGAACCTCGTTAAAATTTTTGTGTTCTTTCGTTTACTTTTCCCGATTCTTCAACATATTACCTCTTAAGAATGTTTTGTCAACCGAGGAAAGAGAGTAAAGGGCGATCAGTGTCATGGTACTTTGGTTGAGGCTTAATATTTGCATTCGTTTTCTTGCCTATGTTCCAACCGAATAAACTCTAAGGGCTTCTTCTCCTCCAGCCCTGCTGGAACACAACCGAATAGACAGGAAGGTTTCTTATCTAATATCTTATCTTAAATTACCTTTCCCTTCATCTTTATTCGTTTTTCCCCATATTTCTTTACTAGCTACTACGACTTCTATCACTTATCTAAAATCGTAAACTAAAACCAATCTACAAATAGAGTAATAGACTATTCCAAAAAAAATCATATTATAATAAACCTGCCACTTCTCCATAAACCTCATATCTTAAAAGGCTTGTTTCTACCTTTTAAAAAGCATAGGATGGCAGCTGATTCTTTGCAACATTCACTGGTTGATTTGTACATGTCTCAATGATTTCATCATCATTGAACTCCTTGTATCAAGTTTTCCACTCCAATTCTTCAACTTCTTTAATCGCATTATCAAGCCTTGCCACAATCTTATCTCCGCTAGCAAAGATTCAAAGGGAAGTGCTCCCGAGAACACTAAGCTAGTGATTGCTATTTCGCTCACTTGTGGTCTCAAAGTCATTCTTTCGTTCTCTTTATCTTGTTCACCGACCATCCTCTTTTATTTCCATTCCAAAAATGTAAAATGAGTCTGTTTTTACACTTGCTAATGAAATGCCACGGTCCTTTTCTTGCTTACAGCGAGCGGCGTGTGCAGCTGCGATTGCTAGCAAGTTGGTGGCCGCATGGTTCTTTTTAGAGCCTAGGAAGAGCCTTGGTTGGGATTTTATGGCAGTGTTGAGGTCTTGCAAGTTTTCATGACAATGGTCGGAGATTATGTTATGAGATCAATGGCGACGTCTTCTGATGTTGTTGGAAAGTTCCATTAGTGCTTTGGTTACTTCTCCGGTAAGTCAAAAGCAGGGGTCTTTGAAGCGTGCATGAACTGATCGCGGGGTCTAAAGAAATAACGAAAATAAATTGTATAGGATTAGTTCTTGTTTTTTATATCATATTAGAAATATATATTAAAATCAAGAGACGAACAACAACTTATGAGCCTCGTTAAAAATCTTCCTAGACTAAATGGAAGAAAAGAGCGCTACATAAGAGAGCAATACAAACACAATCCAAAAACGAATGCCATGCATACAAAGATCACCACCACCTAGTTAAAGACAAGTCAAGAACAAAAAGCACTATCGACCAAAATATGCACTGACTGCACCCATCTAAGAAACAGCAACACTTCAAACCGAAAAGGCTTCTTCGACAAATCAACGCGTACAGAGACAGCACGACCGAAACAGAGACAGCAAAAGCGTATCCAAAAGCTCCAAAGCGGACAACCATAGAAAGTCGATGAAAAGACCACAACCAAACTAAAAACAATAAACAACCGTACTAAAATTCCTTCATCTTGATTGCTAGCTTCATCCACTATGGGCACAAGATCTTTGTTCAGCTTCTTACCACATGAGAGAGTAACCGTCATGCAATGCACATGGCCACCATATTGCACTACCTCGACAACTCTGGGAAGACTTCAAGGTAGCGACGAAATTAGAACCTAGGCAAATTGACCCATTTTTACCTCCACTACCTTAATCGTTGCGCTTATATTCAAAATCAAATAAAAAGTTAGAAATAGATGAAATCAGACTTGGGCTGGCGCAGAGCTACAACACTAATATAGAACAAAACGCCCTCTGCTCAGATCGATTGCCGAGATCGATAAACCAACAGCATATACAACCAGCAAGCCGGCCTCAATTCTCTCCAAAGATGCGCACGACTCCCCCACAACGCCCTCTTGCGCCCCACTAATCTCGTCCACGAAATAAATAAAACCAAACAAATAACGCAATGGAAGAAGCGATGGTTCCCCACTACTCAATGATTTGGATTTAAAAAATCCAACTGCCCAACACTTAAAAATCCTGCGCAAAACATTCTAAAGCAGCCCAATGTTCCACCTCAACACGCACATGCTCTCCACCTCTAACCTCCAATGCACTAAAAAACCATTTCTCAATCAAATTAAGACATAATTCAGATACCCATAACGCACTATGAGATACTCTTCAAACAATTATCCTTCAAAAGCAACTCAGAAATCAGCCTCAACACCCACTACCGCCCCCACTACCTACCTCTAAAGCATCAATAAATCCTCTCCTCTGACATGTAAAGTCGCGAGCACCTTCCCACTACTCAAATAAAAACAGAACTCATAAACAAATCAAGAAAACCTTGAACACATCACTCTAACCTTAGAAAACCAGAACCCACCAAAAACGCCTCAGACGCCAAGCAGACGAAACCATGAACATACCAAGAAAAACTCCCATCTACGTTCCCAACAAAAGCAGCCAATCTAATTTCTTAAACTCACACCAACACCTACTAAAAAATCACTGTAGACAACTAACACACAATAGGAAACTTAGAATCTCCCGAAACCAAGACCCCCACTACAAGTCAAAACATAACCACAAAAAACCCTTTAGCTAATCATCTCCGGGACCTCAAAAAAAAACCACGACATAGACCTCAAAGTTCCAATACACAACCAAACACATACCCCTCACCTCACTCACTACATTCAATTCAATTCTAACGACACTAACTCCTCGAGAACCTTCCTTTCGGGACCAGCAAACTTAATACCAAGCAACTTAGCTACTGACAATGTCTCCTCCGATTCAACATACGCAGCAGCCCATCTTTTCTTTAAATCTGAATCTGAGAGAGATCTACCAGATAATTCAGAGGATTCTAGATCAGACTTCTTCAACTTGGAACTCTTCAACGCCCGATCTCTTTGACTCCTTTCAGCTGACGAGATGACTGAATCCTGGATGTCCATCAGAGAACCGTATTTCTTCATTTTCTTATTATTCCTAATGGACAGAACTGGCAAGCACGACACATCTTCTAGGACACCCCCCCAGACTCTCTAATTCAGATTTTTTTCATTAAACTTGCATTGTCTAAATCCATGGAGTTAACATGACCCAAATTAACACCATCACACCTCCCCCTACAGCCACCAAAATATTTGTAGGAGAATCCATTAAAACTTCAGCCTGTAAGCCCATCCCTAGAGGAAACCCAATACCTGGGGAAACTACTATTGAATCTCCAACCAAAGCTCTATCCTCCAACTTAGAAAACCCGTCTAAAATAGGGCTGACCACATATGACTCTACAGCCTTCCTCTCAGCCTTCCTCTCAGCCCCATCAATAACCAAACCCTGCAACCCCACGTGATTAACCTGATCTAAATTTTAATTCCCACATTCTCGCCACCTTCCTCGACACCACAGCCTACCTCGAACGACTTCCCTATACTAACCTTTTTATGACAACCAATGCTATCCCCTGAGCACGCGACATCAACAGGGCTGCCACCAAGGGGTGGCCCTTCCTTACCATCAGAACTGCCCGACTCAGACGCCACCGACGGTTCATCGGATAATTTTTTTGGTGAAACACCTGCATTAAAATTCCGAACCTTCTCATCCTCAATCTCTTTTTTCTTCAGAATTTCGGATTTAGACAAATTGCCTAACGAGTGATCCACCATCCTTACTTCAAGAACCCGAACAATAAACTTCTTATTCTCCACCACTACATCTACAACTTCATCAATCCGAGCTTCCGATGAAGTAGAAATCAACACATTAACTTTCTCACAATCTAAATTATGACTAACATTTTCTCCAAAAGCCTCAAAACTACCCCACAAGCCAACTAATCTCTTCAAAGTTACACCATTCCAGCAATGCAACGGTAACCCATCTATCTCTAACCAAACAACTCTCTTCTCTTGGCAAAAAGACTCTGTCCAGAGCGTCCCATCCACAAAAATCTCCTTCAAGTATGACCATTGGAGGTCTTCAAGCATGATAAATAGATCTTCATCCTCAATGGTGAGCAGAAAGGAGTTCCCACGAAGTCTCTGAACTTTAATTTCCCCTAAACCCCAATTATGTAATCTATCAACGATACTCCCAACACTACAAACACCAGTCATAACTCCTACCAGACATCTCTTTAACTTTCTAACTTCTTCCTCATCCACATGCCCCGTAATTTCCTTTCTAACAACACACGCTTGGCTAGCCTCCTTCCTTTGAGAAAAACCATTTACAGTTGGGCTCATGCTTCTCCCTTTCCATGACAGCTTACAATGCGCACATTTATCGTTCGAAACCTGCCGAGAATACTTAGCAAA